GAAAACAACACAGGGCCTGTAGGCCCTCGTTTTCAGGCTTTCAGGCTGAAAACAACACGGGCCTGAAAATGGCCCGTGCAGCCTGTTGCAGGCGCAGCATGTAACAGTGACGTGGTGGGCTGCGAGATTGATGAGGCTGTTCTGATTCTTCGTCACTTCGGAAGGGGATCGACTGTGGTTATCGAGGATACGTACCTGGTTGATGATGATACTCTCCATTTGCTGATGTAGACAGATTGACGTGCCACGTGGCACCTTGAGGAAGAACTTCAGACATTGTATTCAGTCTATTGATTGATGAGGTGGCGAGGAGGAGGAGGAACCCGAAGTAGAAGTGGGCTGTTGTCTTCTTCTCTCTCCTATGTCTATTCTGAAACGGTATTCACCAGTTCGCAGTAGCGAATGCAGATCCCAGGGCTCGATCCCTAGTTCCCCGTCTTACCTGTGTATAGTATCAGTGTCAACCCGTCGACTTGAACCCGCGACCTGTAGGACCGCCAGTGGTAGGCAGGTTTTCGTAGGTCACAGCTTAGAAGGGAATCGAACTGTAGACTTGTAGGGTAAGAGTCTAGACAGTTCCGAAGTCGTAGCTGTAGGATGTCTGAAGGGTCAAGGTCGTAGCTGCTACTTACCTGAAAGGGCAAAGTCGTAGCTGCTACAGTACCGAAAGGCCAAGTAGAGGTTTCTAGAACTGGCCTTTCGGAGTCAGCCCCTGTTTAGGCCGAGGCAAGTGGGCAAGTGGTATAGGTCCACTACGCAGAGTCAGCAGTCCCAGGTAGCCCARTCCGGTCCAGTCAAGCAAGTACCGTCTGGGACTGTGCACATYGTGGGCCAAGGGATACAGGGCAGACCAACGCCGCACAGAAGTATAAATCAAGAGGCTGCGTCCAGCCATTCATTCATTCYTGCGAATGCCATGCGGAAGCGCTGCCTCAGCAKYTTGTGCGAGGAGGTCYRCAGTRCGCCCGAAGACGAAGTGGGCAGAGAAGTGTAGTGTAGCGACAGGGTAGTGGCAGCCATAGCTGCCATAGGTATAGTAGCGTGTGTGTGCGTGTCGCGTGTATGTACARTGTTGYGTGTGGGACATCCAGGGTGATCCAGAGTGCGAACAGTGAGTTGTGTGGGCGCTCAGACGCCATAGCCAGTGGAAGAGAACTCTTATCTGGTTACGATATCTTKGAGTACTGTGTGGGCGCATGTCGCCAGTTTGCTGAATCGCTGTTTGCATGCTTGACGAAGTGTGAAGTCGAGTCTGATTGTACTGGTATCGGAGCAGGTACCCGCTGTTCCACGCGCGCGTCGTATGCAGGGCCGATGAGCCATAGCTGAAGTGACCGCCG